TTTATTAAAAAATGGGACGCAAGAAAAATTAATGTGTTTTTCTCGCCTATGACGTCACAATTCCAACATGGCTGTCGCTGGTATTCAGGAGCCTTAAAATTAATATTCAGTATTAAATAATTTTAATACATTAAATTCCAATATCTGATTCGATATGTATCGATAAGGATAAACTTATGTTATATAATTCATATTTTAGATATTTTTAATACTTCTGAAATCATCAGAACAAGTTTCTGTTTTGAATTGAAGCAATCATGCTGTATCTAAATTCTGTGAAAAAAAAAACTTTTAAAATGTTCTAATTTTAATATTATTTAATAAAAAAATGAAAAACAACAAATTTAAACAATTTAACTAATTGTACATGTAACTAATTAATAAGATTTTTGTATCACACTGACAAAAAGCTCTCATTATTCTGTCGTTATTTTTTTTTTTATTAATCCTTTCGAGAGTTTGTCCTTTACTTTTTTTTTCTGTATCATTTTTTTATCTATGCATAGACTCAGATAACAAGCTGTAGTCATTTTGACGTCGACATATAATTTATTTAGGCTCAGTTTTACAACTCACGGTTGACTCTTAACCAAGGTTCAACTTGCTTCTCATTTTTTCTAATTCTTTAGAATTAGAAAGAGATAAGGAATAAATTAAACCTCGGTTAAATTAATGATGAATTATAAAATTAGACCTAATTGATGACATATTAGTAACATTATTAATAGTTAATTAATAATATCATTTATTCATGTCCTTAATAACAAAAAATAATTATGTATTTTCGACATAGATTTATATGATGTCATGTGACAAATCTACGTCATTTTTACAATAATAGGCGTCTGATTCATCAAGAATGACTATTTAATTACGTCAAATAGATTCCTTGCTATCTGGGAAGATTACAAAATGTATTTCACAGTTACTTTTTCATCCAGTGCACATGTAGGTAATACTCTAGAATAGAAAAAAATATATTCTTGTTTTATTTATAATAATACTCTCACTGAGTGTGTAAGAAACTTTCTTTAATATATAAAAGTAACGTCTTGTTGCTAGCTTATTCACACTGAATTCTGTGTCGCATTATTTTGAACCTACCGTTAAAGAAATACTCTGCAACAGATTATAGGTCCAGAGTGATCTATTCATTGTAATAATAGAGATAAAGGTTAAAAAACGGTCTTATTCGAGTCAAGATACAATAGTTGATCAGAGGTCATTTCTGGAACATCGATAAATTCTTTAAGGTAATCCAACTTCCGTGATATAAATATTTTTTCACTTCAAAAAATTATGCGTAACAGAGTGTGGGAGATCTGAGTTCGTTCTGGCTTCCCGTATTGTTGCTGGTTATCTATGTACTTAACGTCCATTTCGAATGGGTACAGGGTTGTCACAAGTCAGGGAAATGTCAGGGCATTTAAAAATGCGTCAGTGAAGTCAGGAAAAGTCAAGGATTTAGCACTTTTTTTTTTTTTTTTGGAAAAATAAAATAGCTGTAAAAAAAGAAATTTATTTACATCACGCGCCACAATTGATAAAATCATTCCGCTTCGTTTCTTCAAGCCAACTCGGCCGGTAATTCCTCCGCTTTTTATGATTTGCCGTGATCTTGCGGCGCGTGGCGGCGCGGCGCTAGTGTACCATTGTTTCGTGCGTGTACGTTTTGTTCAGTTTTGTTTTGACTCGCAATTTATTTGGTTTGGACGCGCGTGTTACTTGCTGTTAGACCTTTCATATGTTAGAAAATTTGTTCTCATTTTTTTGATTGTTGTTTACGTTGTGAAAATAGTGCATTGCGTATAGTGATTGGCCATTGAGTTTTAAACATGTTTCTCCTGTGTTTTGAAGGAAGGAAATCTACACCAAAGGTAAACTGATAATCGTTTGATGATAAGTTATGTGATGTGTTGCTGATTTGTTTGCCCTGAGATTTTTTAAATTAAATGAAAACATTTTAGCCTGTTCGCATTAATAGCAGAATTTAAGAATCGATTTATTCTTATCATTTGATTTTCTCCTCGGTGTGATATTTCTTATTTTTTATTCATAGACATTTTTACACCTAATTGTAATAATGACTATATTATTAATAATAATTTCATAAAATGAGCATAATAATAATACCACACACAAGTTCTTATTTGTGATAAATTATTATAAAGTAAATAATTTATTCATATCTCTCTCAATACCATAAAATCTATATAAACGTAATCATCTTCAGTATAAAATTACAATTATCAGTGGACAATTGTCCACTGACTTTCTACTTTTTATCTGTACATTAAGATCCTGACTACCATGTTGCACGAAATATAGTCTGGTAACTATATTCATCAAAAAAATGTATAATTCGGACGAAATTTTGATCACGATGACACAAGTTAGCGTACATTGGTAGCAAACTATGATTATGAAGAAGGAACCAAGAAGAACAAGATTGCATTGTTAACGTAGTAAGTTAAAAATTGACAAATGTATTATTTGTAATGTTATTATATATAATGGTAATTTTATACTGAAGATGGTTAGATTAATGACCGAAACGTTTATATATAGATTTTATGGTATTTTGATATGAATAAATTATTTACTTTATAATAATTTATCACAAATAAGTACTTGTGTGTGGTATTATGCTCATTTTATGAAATTATTATTTTTTGAATAGAACCACATTTTTTTATGAGATTTATATATTTGACTAAATTAAGTTTTTCGTGACGAGTGGATACTGAATTTTTAGGGATTCAAAATGCAAAGTGGAGACAGAGGCTTACTGTACTTTATGTAAAAAGATTATATAACTGAGTAATATGAGAATAATGTCTCTAAAAAGTCACGTAAAGCCGGGAACCAGACATAACAAGAAAATATTGTATGCAAGATAGGCCTGAAACAATTATCCTCTTCGTGTTCAAATTTTTTGAAATTGTATTATGTACGTCATTTCGTTGATGTTTAAAGTGTCGAGTTAGGACTGGCAGAAATAACGAGAATAATCATTTACACCTCATTTATTATTTGCACTCTACTATATATATTATATAATATATATATATATATATACAATATTATATTATATATTATATATATGAGGCATTCCACGCCAAATCGGCCACTCAAAAATTTTTGGATTTTTGATTTGGCTGAAATTTTGATATATTATAGTATCCATCGCAGGAAGCTACCATGATTTTTTTTTTGAATTTTTTTATGAACATAGTCATGAGATAAGAATTTTTTTTAAAACTCGCATTTTTCAAAATTCGCAATCTTTAAATGCCTATAACTTTGCGAAAAATAATCCAAATAAAACGTTTTTTTTTTTAAATTGTGTTTTTTTTTTCTAGTTTAAAAAAATAATATCAAGAAAAGTTTCAAAATTGTTTTTTAATTTTTTTTAAATTTAATGTTAAAAATTATTAATTTTTTAGATAAAATTAAAAAACAATTTTGAAACTTTTCTTGATATTTTTTTTAACTAGAGAAAAAAACACAATTTAAAAAAAAACGTTTTATTTGGATTATTTTTCGCAAAGTTATAGGGATTTGAAAATTGCAAATTTTGAAAAATGCGAGTTTTTAAAAAAATTCATATCTTATGACTATGTTCATAAAAGAATTCAAAAAAAAATCATGGCAGCTTCTTGCAATGGGTACTATAATATATCAAAATTTCAGCCAAATCAAAAATCCAAAAATTTTTGAGTGGCCGATTTGGCGTGGAATTGGCCCCATATATATACATAGATAATATTGTCTTATAAGAGAAATATTTTGACATGAAACTTTGACATATGTTTTACGAAGTCTCCGAAAGAACCAAATATTTGCATTTTCGCTTTTAAAAATATAATAAATAAAATGATCTATTTCTCATGATGCGGATATCATATAACCGTGAAATATTTTGTTTTGTAGAAACAATATTTTGCTACGAAACTTTTTTCTGTTTCGTTTTTATAACAAAGAAACTACGAAGGCACGTACAGAGCCGTATTTTGTAATTTGATTCTTGAAATATTAAATGAATAAAATTATCTGCATCTACGTTGGATGGGAATTGCTGGATCAACAAAATATTTAACAATTTTCGAATTAGGATAAAAATACAAAAAACATTTCAAAATATGTATTGAAAGTCAGGGAAGATCACAAAATTTTGTCATGCTGTTAAGCTAGCTCCCCCCCCCCCCCCGCCCTATCAACGTGAAATAAATTCTAACATATTTTAAAATTAGGTGCTAATTAGGTGCTCCAAGAAAATAATTAAAATATTTCGAAATTTTAATATATTATGTACAGAATCAATATACAAAGAACTTAGACGTAAGTCGCGCGCGGTCGGCTGACAAGAGAGAAGTTGCCTTAAACAATTAGGTGCTGCGGCAAGTTTTTGGTATCAAAATTTTTCTTTTTTGATATTATTTAAAGATATCTAGTCGCCGAATTAGGTGCTCGTTCCGTTTGGCAGGAATTCGGACTTAAACGTGGGTCGCGCGGTCGGCTAACAAGAGAGAAGTTGCCTTAAACAATTAAACGGAACGAGCACCTATAATGACTTAAATTTAATTTAAGTAATAATGTTCATTGATCAAATAGTCCTATGCAATGCTTATGCATGTAATATTAATTTAGTATTAATATAATTTTTTTTCATCATATAACATTAATTTAATAGAAACGTATAGGTACATATATAAATATACAAGTTAATATGGCGTTTATAAAGACATAATAAGACGGATGATTATTAGTCTAGCGACCTAATGGTTCGATTATACAGTTTATGTGTAATTTTGTGTGCGATGACCCTTATTCTGGCACATATTGACATGAATTATTAAATATTTCATAGACTATATAACATTTTTTGATCATGCCTTACGAAGAAGATGCTGAAGCGACGGTCGAACTTAAATCGATGTCGACAAAACATTTTCAATTTCAAATAATACATTACGTATGTACATTAAATTAAGAAAACATTATATACATTAAATAAAACATTACATAAATTAAGTAAATCATTAAGTATAAAAAGTTACGTACGTTTCTTGCGCTATGCTATCTATATCGTGTGAATGATAGGTTATATGTACATGGATCGTACTTTTTGATTTGTTTCTTTGCAAGCTCCATAATCATAATTTGGAGGTCTTATTACATTCTTATATGCATTATTCAAATGCAGAAAAGTATTTTTGTTTAGATATATATTTGAATTTATTTATATAGTATATGAAGAAGTAATTTAAGTGATAACAGGAAATTGAAGAAACTGTAATTTACAATTCTTTGGTTTTTAAATACAGGTTTGTACTTTCCCATAGTTTTGCGTTTTTTCTTTTATTTTAGAGGATTTTAGAGGATTTTTTATTCTGTGTCAGCCAACTTCAGTTCGGCGGCATCGAGAGTATGCATTTTCTACAGCAAAAATGAGGGACCAGCAGTCCATACGTTTATATAGTCAAAGAGGCGCACTGAACTATACTACTGGAAAGCACTCTGAGGCTATCCGCCTGAATAGACAGAGAGAGAGAGAGAGAGAGAGAGAGTCAGTTTAGTTTACTTTGTCCTTGTCGATACAGTCTGAGTGAAAAGTGCTTTCCATCCGTCTGCGCATTTCATTAAGTAAAAATCGGATTCACTTCTGAATCTTCGGATCAACAACACTTTTTATTTTGAATGTACGACGGTCGAATGCGCATGCGCCATAAAGGACAGCGATACCTAAAGTAGCTGTCTCTGTTTATTACGCCATGCCGTTTCAAAGGGCAGAGCGCTTTCCAGTAGTATAAGGTTTGTTCGCGTCGCACGCTCCAACATGCTCCAATATGCTCCTATTATGATGTCTTAGGGCTTCCGCAGACGAGCGACTTTGTAGCGCCATAATCGCAAACGTCGACGAAAACCTAAGAGGCCACAATATGATGAGATATGGCATGATATAAAAATACATACTAGATGTAGTTATTTCTTGCTACATCTTTATTATTTTACGTAAAAACGTAAACACGCGAGTCCTTTTTGACATCTCTGTCTGTTGACATCTCTAATCTTCGCAAATTCGTATATTCACGTATTTTTTCCATTCAGTGAAATGACTTTTCTGGACTTTCAATCTTAGTTTTATAAACTCGGTATTGTTCGTTCCAATAATGCGACCTCAGCTAAATGCTTATTTTCAATATATGGTGGACTATAAAACTTTTATATCAAGTAAATATAAATCTGACGTGTGTGAGCCAAAAGTAAGTCAAGTTTTTCAACTTTTTTCCGATTTTCTCGTGAAATACAATCTAGTTGAGATCCTATTTGTGCGTACTTTAATTCTGTAATAACAATTTTGCAATCCGTCAATCCAATTCGGAAATTTATTGAAATCTATTACCGAATGGAAATGATGATAAAGTAGGGACGACTTTAGTATTACCTTAAAGTTGTCTATTTACCGACTATAAATTTTGTATAACTATTATGGTATATTCGCACAAACTATAGCATAGCCGCATATATGTATGTGTAAAAAGAATTATCCACAATCGTATTTTTCATTTATATTTTAGTCAACGACTAAGCACCATGGATGGTCAGGTATAATACCATACTGTATATTCAATAAATGTTTTTTGAGCATCTGATAAATTGCTTCAGGTTGTTCCATCGTTGGTATATGCAATTCTTGACCTTGAAAGTCAATATAAGACACGGGACTGACTACGCACGCTGTTCCTGCTCCGAATATTTCCAACAGCTATAACGAAAAAATTAATTGTCATAATCAGAGAGAAACTTGTGAGCAACCATCCCGGCCTTTTTTCTGTAATGCTTCTAAGGGCGAAATCCATATAGTGTCGTTAGCGCGCGGGTTAGAAATATTACAGGAAAAAAAGGCAGGGATGACCGCTCAGGTTTCTCTTTGTTCACAATAGGTATGTTCTTTTTTAAAGTACCGTGCAGAAACTTTTTGTACTTGGTACACATGGTACAGTTTAAAATGTCACAGTGCTCGCGATACAGATAGACCAGTGCGAATTCAAGTTCTGAGAAAAAAAAGAACGCTATTTGATAGATACTCAGCACATGTTGCACAAAGATTAATTGGTTATTAAAAAGATAGTATTTAAATAATACGTCGTCTACAATACAGGAAGCAAGAAGCAAGAATAAGAAATTGATCAATCGTACTCGAGGGTATGTTAAGTTAGCACCCCAACTATAGTACTCAGGAGTTCTGATTAGAGTTCCCACTTCCTTTTGACGAGACGAAGAGTTCCCTATAGTTAATAACAATCCGCTCAATAAACAATTTTTTTACATTTTTTAAAAATGGGGTGCTAACTTTTTATCGAATTTCGAGGAACAGTTCTGAGCTGCGCTTAATAGCTTCAATTTGCGATTGCCTAGAGTTTCTGATATGTAAAAAAAATTTTCGAATATTAAAAAAGAAATTAAAAATTTTTGAAAAATTAATTTTTAGATACAATAGTTCTCATGATAATTTCTGCTTCTTTTTGACGATACGAAGAGTTCTCTATGATTTTTAATGATATATGCGCTTAATAATCATTTTTTAATAATTTTTAAAAAATGGGGTGCTAACTTTTTAACGAAATTCAAGGTCGTCTTAGTTTTGATCAGCTTAACAGAACTATTTTGTGAATACCCAGAGTTCTTGATACATAAAAAACATTTTTGAAATATAATAAAGTTTAAAAAAAATAATGGAAATCTTTAAAAATTTGTTTGAGAGTACCGAGTAGTTCTGAGTAGCGTTTCTTATAGTACTCGACGAGTTCTATCGAAAACTGTCAGGTAAAAAAGCGATTGGACTAACGGTTTGTAAGATACAGCGACATTTGTCAGAAGATCACCTCGAAATTCGATAAAAAGTTAGCACCCTATTTTTAAAAAATGTAAAAAAAATGTTTATTGAGCGGAACTCTTGTTATTAATTATAGGGAACTCTTCGTCTCGTCAAAAGGAAGTGGGAACTCTAATCAGAACTGAGTACTATATAGTTGAGGTGCTAACTTAACATACCGCGTGCTCGATTATTTTTTCCATATTCGACTGTGATTGGTCAATTTCTTATTCTTACTTCTTACTCCGTGTATTGTAGATGACGCATAAAAAAATAAAAATGGAAACTGACGATAAAAGTACATCCGATGAAGACGAAAAAAAAAGAAAAAAGATAAAATGCTTTCTTTTCTTTCAATCTCAATATTTGTGCTTTCCATTTTATTTTCGTTTTGATTTCATTCATATGACTTTAATCTCACACTTCGTTATTTTGATTTTCACTGTATGTACTATACGCTGTATGTGTACTATATACGCTGCATCGCCTCGAGAGATGGTACAAAAGTTCTTGTACCAAGGTACCAATTTTCAAGTGTTCCGTTCAAATAAAATGCGTACACTATTTTGTAATGACGCAAGTTCCGGCAAATAAAGCATACAATGTTCTGCACCTTGCACTAGGTACAGAAAGTGTCACCGTTGTCAAAAAGAACAAACCTAATATGTTAGCATAAGAGCACAAATAAGAGAGAGAAAAGATATTAAAAAGAGAAAACAATGTTGCATACGTAAATCTTACCCTGTTCTCTGAATTTAATTGTATTATTTCTTTCATCGTAATAGATCTTTCCGTAACTTTATACTGATTCCACTGCCTAGATATAGCTAAAAGCGAATTTCTTACAATTCCGGGTAAGATTAAACCATTTAAGGGTGGTGTAAGTAGTTCCCTTTCTGTATAAAATAACATAGGAATATATAGTAATCGGATCTCTAAACTGAGAGAACCATTAAATCGAGTTATTTTTCCTTATGACACTTTTCACAACATGCATTTTTAGCAAAATTCACCAAACTTCGCTTCTTACCTCCGTTATTATTTATATAAACAACAAAAACGTTCATAGTGCCAATTTCTGTAAGTTCATTGTTTTCGCCGTACAGCCACAATACTTGCTGTAAACCTTTTTCAATGGCTTCTTGTTGAACTTGAATTGTAGGTCCATAATTGCTGCCTAATTTAGCATTACCACAACCGCCAGGCCATGCTCTCGTATACCTAGGATCTGCAAGCAGGGAAACTCCGACTTGCCGATCGGTAGCTTTAAAATAAGATCCGACGGGAGATAGGATTACGTACAACAAAGCTGAATCCGAAGTTGCGACTCCAAGTGTAGGCTGTGTAGGAACAAGCAAAATGTATTTAAATTAGGTTTTAGGAAAGATAAAAATAATTTTTTTAATAAAACTTTGAGAATTTTTATTAATTCTTCTGAGCCACGTTATGCGAACATACTTAATTTCTATATATTATACATTTCTAAAGGAAATTAAAGGAAAGAATAATGAAATAAAGGGGAAAAGGAAATCGATAGAAAGTTCATTATATTATCATATACATCAATATATTAGAAGACGCGGTAGTGTCTTCGGCCATGTTCAAAAACTGAAAGACACTACAAGTCTCTTATCCCGAGTCACCAAAGTCCATTTTTGGGGGGTGCATAACTACTAAAATATAAAAAATTTTGAATCGAACGTTATATGTCCTGAAAGGGCGGCATCCCCACCAGTAATTTGAGCCAAAAAAATTTTAAATCGGTCAAGCCGTTCTGGAGATACAAGAGGTCGAAAAGTGATGATTTTAATGAAAAATTAAGAAACGTCTTCTCCTTTTCTTCTTTGTCCTCATTCAAGGCCGCGTATTAAAACTTTCTAACATCCCCTCTCATCTTTCACTCACATCTCCACCATCTTCGATCCACCGCACCCCCTCCCCCACCACCCACCCCTATCAATCAGCGATTAAATGTCGCTCGAGCGTCGTCAGCGGCATTTGGTCCGCGCGCGGTGAGGTAATTAAGGGGAACAGCGGAAAGTGGAGGCGATTCGAAAATCGGTCGAAAGTTACATACACTTTATGTACCTATGTTCACTTTGGCACCTTTAATTAATAATATATCAGTTACTTTTCATGGTAATATATTATTATTAGATAAAAATTAGTTTAAATTTTTGAGTATCCTTTTTTAAACATGGCTTGAACTTTTCATTTTTATGATATGATTTTTTTCGGTACTGTATTTCAATTACAAGCACTGAAAGTATTTTGTATTTTGTATTTCAAATAGGTTATTCAATACATGTATTATATTTTGTACTTCAAATACAATTTCTATATATTTTTTTTTTATATAAGATTATCGTATGAGAAAAATTTAAGTTATTATAATTGTTGTCAAGAAGCCTATTTGATTGAACTTTTGCACCAATTTATCTTTTTTCCTTTTCTCTTTTTCTCGAGAGAAAAGGAAGAAAGATACATTGGTACAGCCAAAAAGAATAGATCTAAGAATTATTAGGATCTAATATTAAAGGATTTTTTTAGTATTTCATTTGAAATAAATCCATCATAATAATAATTAAGTACAGGACTCCTAATTTAAAAATAACAATTATGTAATATATAAAAAGACCAATAAGAGTCTGATAAATAGAAACGCTTTATCAAATATTCAAATAAAAGTACTGAGAGACTACAATCAAAGAATAAACTTTACTCTAATTAACATTACATGTTTTTAACTGTATAATTCAGCCCTCTTCAGATGTAACAAAAAAATTATGTATAAAAAATCAATCTTATTATATTCTAAAATGCTAAAAGTAGATATACGGTAAAAGCGCTATTTTGAAGAAAAAAGATGCGATGGACATTCTGGATAAGATAAAATCGTCTTTGTTCACCAAACGATTGAATGACCGATTGAAACAGTGTTTCACGTTCTGATGAGAACAAAAATTTTTTTTGTATTTTAATTAAAGAATAAGGATTTGAAGTAATTCATAAAGTATGTCTAGCTATTAAAGACTCACCAAATTGTCCATAACATATCAATAGTAAATAGTTCGTCAAACGGTCAACATCTCGCAAATGCAATCGGAGTCAAGAGAGGCGGTTACATAAATGCACAAGTGTCAAAGATTAAAATATAAAATATATATGTCAAAGATTAAATAATTAAGCATAGATGAAGGACGATTAGAGTCAAATCATAAAACGAAAATAATAAAGTGGTTATAACATTAAACATGTAATAAAAATTTAAAAAAAAAATACTAAAATCAAACTATTTAAAACTACTAAAACAATATACTTAGCCGCTTATAATAAAAATTTGAAGATTAAATAACTAAGAATTTCGATTATCATATAGTGAGACTAGACATGTCTAACTTTTACGGTTGTTAATACAATATTGAAATGAGAACTTTGGTGATGCAAAGTCAAAGCTTGTTTATGATCGGAATATATGCTTCGTGTAATCCTTCTGTGTCTATCTGAGGTTAAAACCGTTTTTCTGTTTTTTAATATTAAGCATTTCTGATATAAGACGTTTTTTGCAACAAGATTCTTCTCTCGTCTGGAATGTGAATGTTACACCATTCAATGTCATGTCCCTGTTGCAATCTATGATCAGTTATCACCGATTTATAAGACGTGTTCCAACGTATACGATTACGATGTTCTGCAATACGTGTTTTCAATTGTCTTCCTGTCTGTCCTATATATGTTGCGTCACACTCGTTGCAATTAATTTTATAAACCACGTTAGATTTACAACTTGAAATTAATGGATCTTGGTGTACTTTAATATATTTTCACAATTTGTTAGTGCTAAAGAAAGAAACTCTGATGTCGTTCTTATTAAAATGTTTGAATACTTCAAATCCTTATTCTTTAATTAAAATACAAAAAAAAATTTTTTCTTCCATAAGAACATGGTGAAACACTGTTTCAATCGGTTATTCAATCGTTTGATGAACAAAGACGATTTTATCTTGTCCAGAATGTCCATTGCATCTTTTTTCTTCAAAATAGCGCTTTTACGATATATCTATTTAGCATTTTAGAATATAATAAGACAGATTTTTGATATATAATTTTTGTCTGAAGAGAGTTGAATCATACAGCTGATGCATGTAATGTTAATTAAAGTAAAGTTTATTCTTTGATTGTAGTATCTCAATACTTTTATTTGATATAGAATATTTGATAAAGTGTTCTATTTATCAAACTATTATTGGTTCTTTTGTATTACATAATTGTTATTTTTAAATCCATCAAATTTGACTTTAAATAAATTCTGTTATTATGCATTAACTCAAAAACAGTATTTTGTATTTTAAATTGTGGAAGTATTTTGTATTTTTATTTAAAAAAAGTATTTTTTGTATTTGAAATACAAAATTTAGAAATATTTTTGTATTTTGTATTTCAAATCGAAAGATTAAAAGTATTATGTATTTTGTAATTCAAATACAAAGAATAGAAATGAAACCAGAAAATACCCAGCCAGAAATGAATGTCGAAATTATTAAACTGATGTCGAATCAATGTCGATCCAATGTCAAAATCATCAAATTGATGTTGAATCTTGAATCGACATCAGTTCCATTATCATTTCTGGGTGGTATTTTGTATTTTAATTACTTTATGTATTTTGTCCAGCCCTGAGTATATTATCATATCAAATTTATAGAAAAGAGAAAAGAAGATGAGAATCATTTGAATAATACGTCAATACTGTGTACAAATAACGTGATTGTAGGGGCATGTTTTTATATGTAATATGTATGCCAACAAAAAGTTGGGATTCTGTTTATCGCATGTATTATCACTAAACATTGAGAAATATAACGATTATTCTCGTGCCCGTATATAGAAGTCTTGACAACGTACATGACATATTAAATAATACACGCGAATATCGTTTGTAATGTAATTTTCAATCAGATCAAATGTCGCTCGGGCGTCGTGCGGCATTTGGACTGCGCGCGGTGAGGTGAGGGGGACAAGCTAATATATTATTATTAGATAAAAAGGTTTACATTTTTTAGTATCCTTTTTTGAACATGGCTTGAACTTTTCATTTTTATTATATGATATTTTTCGGGTATCTTTTACTTTTTAGAGTACTAATATATCACAAATATATAAAAAAATGATTTAAAAATATATTATATAACGAAAGAGAATGAAATACGACGAAAGAGAGGGACGGTGGGGGTGGGAGGTGGGGGTTGGCCGATTAAAAATTTTTTTGGCTCAAATTACTCGTGGAGATGCCGCTTTTCAGGACGTATAACGTTCGATTCAAAATTTTTTATATTTTAGTACCCCCCCAAAATGGACTTTGGTGGCTCGGGATAAGAGACTTGTAGTGTCTTTCAGTTTTTGAACATGGCCGGAGACACTACCGCGTCTCCTGATAATATATTTTACAACGCGAAGCGAGGACTATCTTACCTCTCCTCCTGTCTATAGGGATAAACTTCTTGCTTCGCACAGAAAGTGGATATAAAAAGTGAATACTCTAGAATATCGTACCTCAGAAATTATAGAAGAGTCCGCTACGTGATTCAAAATGTATTTGACTCAAGATTATATCGAATTTTTAATTATGTAAAAATCAAAGTTATATATTAGTGAAGTTATATATAGTGACCTTTTTGCAGTAATTATTTAAATTTTAATAAGATAAATACTAACAGAATACTCGATGATATATTGTATTTAATAATAAAATAGTACTCACGTCGATGCCTATAAGCGTAGGACGAACGTAAAGACTAGAGGCGGTAGAATGTGGAACCCATTCTTGATCTATACTAATTAATCTGCAAATGCACTTAATTAATTCTTCTCCTCTGAAAGGTGGTAGACCAGCTCTTACTGCCGAATTATTCATTCTTTCCATATTTAACTCTGGTCTAAACAACCTTATTTTGCCATCAACACCTCTGTAAGCTTTCATACCTTCAAACAACTGAGGAAAGATTTATATGTATACATATATTATTACTGTCAAATTAAATTTCACACAAGGAATTTCAGCTCAATAATTCAATAGTAAAATATCCTCCAAGATCATATGATTATTGGTATTAAATATTTTTGATATAAAAATTTTAAGGTTTTTTTCATGGGAATTTTATATTAAAAGAAATACTTCTCAGCTTTACATCATACAAAAGAAAAATAATTCTACTTTAATTATACTAAACTAAATATAGCAACAAAGTAAAAATAAATTAATTTTCTTAATACTTATACTGTTTTATACATATTGAGCCTTATTATTACTTTTATTTTATTTTCTTAATACTCTATCTCATGTTATTTTTCAAAAATATACATAAATATAAATTAATACCTCCACAGCATAATGAAGTACTTTTGCAGCTGGATGAAGAACTATGTTTTCGAAAGGCATAATTTCTGGTGCTTGCCAACCATTCATGCCTTCGTAATAATGTATTTTGAGCATGTGATCAGTGAAATATTTCCCAAATGAAAGCTTATTAACATCAGGTTTAGGATTCAACTGATTTGGTCCAGCGAGACGGACTGATAAATCTGCATACTGATAAAAACATATTGAATAAATTAGGCTTTCAGTTTCATCTATGTTGCATTTTTCTTAATTGTTTCTATTGTAATAAATGATAATACCTTAAAGAAACGTTGCGGTACAGAATTCTTGTCTTTAGTTCTCAAAGAAGAGCTCCACTTAACACTCTGTTGCAGTTGATTAATCGCATTTCCGAAAAATAAAATCTAAAATATAAGAACATATATACGTTTATTTCTGTCTTTCTAATAAAAAAAAGCTTATTATAGCACAATTTACAAAATTTAAAATTCCTAATAATTTTACGTTTAAATTATATAAGTATGTCATCTTTATTTAACAATACTAGTCTGCGAATTGAAACTTTAGGATTATTACCTGAATCTAAAGTTAGCATGCTGAATCCGAAAATCAAATCTATCCATTGTTATAAAGAATTTTAGCAAAATCGCAATGAGATATTGTAATATAAAAATAAAATAAAATAAACAAGTATGAAAAAAGAAATATAGATTTTGACCTCTTAAATATAGGTTATCTTCAGAAAAATTAATATCAATGTTCAATTCAAATAACAAAAGCAAATATTATTTATTTATAATAAAAGTAATCTTATAATTACATAAAATCTTGAAAATTGATAAATATACAACACAAATTGTTGTAAATCTGTCAATTTACGAGATTTTAGATGATTATAAAATTCATTTATTACTGGATTTTTTGTTATTTAATTTTAATTTATATTAGTTAAAATACATTAAAGATGACCATATTTTATAGAAATTAAATTTAAAAGATCATTTGGTTAAGATCCTTCATACGATTCACAAATGAAATAAAACACAAAAATAAAATCTATAAGAAAAACAAGTAAATATGATGTGTAATCGGCCAAAATCTATAAGATCTGTCAATTTTAACAGAAGATTCTAATCAGGTTATCACAGCATTTGGAACTTCTGTGCAAACAAAGGAAATAGAACATTCACAATACATAAGAAGGTCCATTAAATTGACAAATGTTAGAAGCACTTGACGTTTAAAAAAAAAAAAACAGTTTTAAACAATACAAAAGGATTGCCAATTTCGATCGATTAATGGAACAAGCACGTAATAACGTTTTATTATAAAAAATGCGAGGACTGCAGATTGCGTAATTATACTCTTGCGTTATTAATAATATGACGTTGTAATATGTTTAATTGTAATAATTTTTACTGATTATGGTGTAAAATAGACTGAAACGTCTGGAAAAATTTAACGTATATTCTGAATAAAGGACATTCGCTCATTATAACTAGCGCTGTGGCTGCACGATGCTCGAGCGAGCGACATTTGGAAGAGGCGATTCGAAAATCGGCCGAAAATTGCATACACTTTATGTATGTTCACTTTATACTGGCACCTTTATTAATATTGTAATATATCAGTTACTTTTTATGGTAATATATTATTATTAGATAAAAAGGTTTAAATTTTTCAGTATCTTTTTTTCAACATGGCTTAAACTTTTCATTTTTACGATATGATTTTTTTGGATATCACTTACTTTTTAGAGTACAAATTACAAATACATATATTAAAAAATGATTTAAAAATATTATGTAACGAAAGAGAGTGAAATACGGCAAAAGAGAGGGGTGGAGGAGGGTGAGAGGTAGGGGGAGGAAATCTGGTGGATCGAAGATGATGAAGTTGTGAGTGAAAGGTGAGAGGGGATGTTAGAAAGTATTAACACGGCCTTGAATGCGGACAGAGAAGAAGAAGGAGAAGGCGTTTCTTAATTTTTCATTAAAATCTTTTCGACCTCTTGTATCTCCAGAACGGCTTGACCGATTTAAAATTTTTTTGGTTCAAATTACTGGTGGGGATGCCGTCCTTTCAGGACATATAACGTTCGATTCAAAATTTGTTATATTTTAGTAGTTATGCACTCCCCAAAAATGGACTTTGGTGCAGGCTCGGGATAAGAGACTTGTAGTGTCTTTCAGTTTTTGAACATGGCCGCAGACACTACCGCGTCTCCTGATATGAATTAATACATCAATCAAAATATTTTCCATTATATTTTTTATTATTTTTCCCATGTTTTGACAAGCATATGAATTTATTTATATTAACTATTATTTGTATTATCAGACTCTTACTAGTCCTTTTGAATTACGTAATTGTTTATTTTGAAATTGAGAGTCTTGTACTTATCTTTGATTTCATTTGTATTAGCCAAAAGACAACTAAAATTTAACATTCTTTTTTTAGTAACATAAGAATGTGATGATAAGAATGTTAAGTTTTAAGACGAAAAACGTGCTACAAGTAATAATAAAATGGTAATAATAATTATTATTAGTCAATAATTATTATGGTAAATGATTAATTAATTAATTAATACTTAATAATAAACCGTTCTATGGAGAGAGAGTTTTAACTACTTCTGGTTAAAACTTTAACAACGCGTGTGTTTATCAAGTAGTCGAAAATTCATATCAAAAGAATTTGTTTTGCCCGCTGATAAAGTATTTATTATTCTAACGAACATAATATATTTTAACATTTTTGTATTCTTTAGTTTAGAATTAAATATGTCAACATTTTCATATTATTTTTAATTTTAATATTAATTTGACTCTTACTTCGCCCTTTTATTGTTTTTTATTGTTATTATTATTGTTTGACATATATTTAGAGAAAATATAAAATTATAAGTCAATGGGGGTATATAAAATCTATATATTGCATTTAATGTTATTCATTGGAAATCATATGCGAAGGAACAAACATGACTTGATTAAATTCAAAATGAACGATCCGCGCTGACGCGCGTTGGCATAAATTATTCTCTTCGTTTTATTCTTTTTACACTTTGCTATTTTCCATTTCCTCTCCTCCATAAATGTTAAAATACTGATCACTGTATTTTATATAAAGATATATATTCAATATTGCATATATGTAGAAACATAAAATAATACAAATGTTAATTAATTAGAAATATAAATGATATAATAAATACAGTTAAATGCACTAATTTCGTATTTAAATACGACTTGACTTAAATTAAAATTATAACTTAGCAAATATAAGATTTGTATTTGAAGAGAAACATGTGTAACGTATTGCATGATAGCTATTTTTAAACATCTCAATGCGTTTACGATGTATATATTATATTACACAACATGTTTACAATATACAGCCTTGTGCAAAAGTATTAGGCACCCTTATTATTATACATATATCCGACATGAGTTCTTAGAATTTATTTTTTTGTTAGTGATTCGTTGAATGGTATGCTTACTCTAAAATGTACACAGATATGATTTTAATGAAGTAATAAATGATAGAAGGCATCAATTGAGAATATTTGTATTTTTCCAATGAAGTATCATTCCATTGTCGGTGGTTGTAGTGCAAATATATGCGTCAATTTCATATTCTACTGCTCATATTTATGAAAGTTGAGTTCTTTTCTGTAAATAATGTCTAAAATACGCACAACAGCGCTTGCTGATACAACTTTTACACGAATAGGGCAAATGTCAGTTTGAAATATCCCAAAGAGTTAAATGTTCGTGTCGACTAAAGCTGAGCGTGGACTTATTGAATACTAATTAAAGCAACAAATATTGACTAATTAAAAGTCATACATAGTTTTATTTTTATCTACCTTTACCACAATTTAAAATAACTTGGTAGTTATAATGTGCCTAATACTTTTGCACAAGGCTATATATTATAAAAATATGGATATTTTCTGGGAAACTTATAAAAATTTATAAGTTTGTTAATTTAATTAAATAATACAATACATATAATAATATTTCAAGTACAATACAATAATAGCGATATTATAATATTTTAAAATATTTAAACTAGCGTATAAGCATTTGTAATGATTTTTGGTATACAGATCGATATAATATAATATTGATTCATTTATAAATTATACTTAAACATAAATTTAGTTTAAATATTTTGAAATATTATTATAATATTGTGTTATTTAATTGAATTACATTTTCCGCGACAAAATAGCTATATTTTTGTAATACTTTGTATCGTAAATTTACTAATAATTAAGGATTTCATTCCTCGAAAAGCATTAAAATTAAAAAAGAAAACATTTTCGTAAATAAAATCAACATACGTACGTTAAAATTGATCTTATATTGATAGGTAAAATATAATATCTATTTTATTGGGGAGATATAAGATATATTTTATAAAAAATATTTATATGATATTTTGTAGATGCTGTCGATATGAAACGTTTTAAAGATCATAAAATCGTTTTTCTTGTTTGCAATGCTTTTATAATTTTAGGATGTTTTTAAATATTAGGACATTTAATATCAATAATTAAATATTATAAAAGATATAGGGCGATATATTTTTGTAGTCAGTTATTTTAAGATCATCTTAAATAATATTTTAAGAAGCTAGTATGGCCATCTGGTTGTCTTACTGAAGACAGTATCAAATATGAGAATCGACTATGAATATAAGTACCGCGGCCACAATATATTAGAATTAGAATAATCCTCATGTGTACATACAAAATTCATAATAACTCTGATTTTACATGTGAAAATTTCTATTTCCCAAGAGAATTTTTTTCGAAATAGTTTTTTTATATATTTATTTAAGTATTGATAAACTTCATAATATTCGATACATCAGCATATGTATGCGTACATTCATTTTAAATAACATATGAGAGCTATATATATGTGAGAGCGATTTTATTGATAGAACTGATGCGCTTTCGGCGCTGCACGTTAAAGTCGTTATACACTAATCTAATATATCTGAATGTAACAGTGAGATATCTCAGTTGATAAAATGTATATTTAATAAAGTAATATAATAAAATATATTAAGGATTTTGCGATTAAAAACCCGGTTCTATATTTTTATTAAATTTACATCTTTATACGCGTCGATATGTGTACAACGGCCGCTTTAAAATGCACTAAGTGCGTGTCAGTCCTGCCAATAAAAAATGATATAAAATAACCAATCAAAATTATATTATATTTCTGCACTTCAGAATATTTCCTTCATTAATATACGATAAATTTTATTATTATGTACTAATGCACAATTTAATTAATTGTAATAAAGCATTAACATACAAATAATAGAAACTTTACAGCTTCTAGCTTCGTATATTTCTTTAGGATTTATTTAACTAATCTTCTTAAATTTCTAAAATTAAAATTTTTTTTATAAAATGTTTTAATAAATGATGTGTATATAATGATAAATTAATCATAAATTATTATAATAAAAAGTAAAAAGGAACCTCTCTCTTTGAAAATATAATACAAATGGAAATTACAATATATACATAATAGCTAATTCATTACGGAACATAGCTAAGTTAATTAATTTATAAAGCGCTTAATTAACCAATCTCGTAACTACTTACAAAAAATAATTTTCGACATAGTTGACACAATCTTTGTAATATTAAAAACATTTAAACACCTTAGTATTATTTTTGACTGTTTATACCAAAAAAATTCGATTGTTGTATTAAAATGTATACGGTTTCATCCAACAAGAATTATACCTCGAGAGAGAGAGTTATACAAATAGTTTTTTTTTTTTTTAATGAAACAATTTTTAGCAAAATTCTTTTTTATTCTACAAAATATCTTCAATAGAGAAACTATGGCAAAATTATTTGAACAAAATATCGGTCAAACAACTACCTCGACTTTTCTTGCAGGCTCTGATATGCTCGGTGAAATTTTTATATCATTTTGACACATTACGAACTTAATCTCTGGCCAAAATAATCATAAAGTTTTTGAAATGTGATTTTGATTACAGTCTGCGAATTTTCATAAATATATTTATGTAATTTTCATACATAATTTAATGTTATATCGCTCTATATCATACATCTTACTGAAAATTGCCTTCATCTTAAGATCGATACATGTCAATAAGTTAGGTCAAGTTCACGGGTGCATTCCAAAGTTACATCTTGACAATTTTGCGTAACTCTTGTTGAATGATTCTGGATTAGCTAAGATAATCCTGATTGATTTACAAGAGTGTTGCGTTTTAAATATTGCATGATTGTTTTTATAGGACTTTAACAAAAATTTTCAATTTTTAATGAATGTGAATGATTATTCGTTAATTAGTTAAAATTTAGATTTTAGATATACAAAGTAGAATTTTGTTTATAATTTTTATTATACACATATACATATTTTACCTGTGTACTTTAAATATTTTAATATTTATGTTTTATATATAAAGTAATCGTGATCTTTTATTTACTTACAAGTATTTATAAAATAAATTAAAAATAATATTTCAGCATTTCTTTAAGTATGTACATGTGCTTTCGCGGTTTCTCTCGTATAATGTTTGTAATACATATATTAAAATGTTTCAATAAATTATACTATAAACATCATATTTAATTTTATGGTAAACGATTGTCTTGTTTTCTCGTGTGATATTCGCGTTTCGCGATATAAAAATTAGTCATGGTTACTACATTTTAAACCAATGCAATATACTTGCTTATCTTTTCAATACTTAACTACCGTATCTACATTGCAATTAGTTACTTTAAATGCAAAAATTTTTAACCGATCATACGACGCAAATAATTATCTGTTAATTTCGACATTTCAAGTTCGTCTTTTGATTTGTATATTGCGAACAAAGTACGTATCCTGTATGTTTTTGTATTATAACAAATTGTAAGGGGGTATTTTTGCATTTAGTATTATTATCAATATTTAGAAATAATTCTTTTTTTTTTTTAATAGAACAGCTATCAATTTGATATTTGTTACATTATCATTAAAAAAATAATGGTAAATTATAAAAAATGGTAAACTATAAAGTTGTACTAAAAAATGTACCTCTTTAAAGAAATAAACAAATTACTACATATTACAATATATATATCTGAATAAAAACAATTATTTTTAATATTTTATCATAAAATTTATATTGTAAATTTCTTTTTAAAAACACGTTTTAAATATTTGTTTTGACATATAACTGCACGCAATTATCCATAGTGTGGTGTAGATTTATTACGTATCTCACGTTCAAAATGTACAGCCCATCAACGGTAATAAGTATATTCCGGTTGTATCCATTAAACTACATTTATTAATCGGTTTCGAACAAATAAAAATAGCAAATGACTCAAAATATGTATCACGTACAAGTCTCGAGACAAAATTGATGGAAGAAAACAAAAGGCACCACTTCTGTTTCATTTTTGAGAATTTTTAATTTTCCGTACAATTTTTATAGTAGCAGTATTGATTGAGAGACGAATATACGATTGTAAAAGTAAGCAACTTACCTTGCGTCGTAGGTAAACCATGTTGAATATCTACTTGGTGAAGAGAGAGAGAGAGAAAGAGAGAGAGAGAGAGAGGGAGAGAGAGAAAGAGAGGATCAATGGAGAAGACACAATCGTAGCAGTTTGTTCACGCTGCTTCGAGTATTCACGCAGTTCATTCTATGTGAATGCTTCTTCCGTTCTTGTAATTGTTCTTTTTCCTTGTATTTTCCCGCAAGATTTGATAATGTTATTCAATTTTGATTTTAAGAAACAAAGTTAACATTAAATGGATAACAATATCGTTCACGTCAAGTAGTTGATAATATATTATATCTCCATAAACAAGTAATAAGAAATATAAGAAGAGTCGAAGACCGTGGAAAACCAGAGCCCGTTTTCAGTGTCCTAAATAACAAACTCAGACGATACAGAGACCGGACAGTTGTTCAGTATCCACGAATGAAAAAAACGAGCGTATTTATTTAGGTGAAACTTTCATTCGTTCGTTCGTTCGTTCGTTCACTCACTCGCTCGCTCGCTCGTTCACTAATTACTGATTCGGTCGCCCAATCACGAATACAGCATGCTCGAATTAAGCGTCAGTTAATATTTTATTTATCAGCAAAGCATAAGGAAGAAAGAAAGAGAAAATGACAAACAGATAGAAGAAGGAAGGGGGGGGGAGAGAGAGAGAGAGAGAGAGAGAGGGAGAGAGAAAGAGAGCGAGAAAATAAGAGACAGAAAGAGAGGGAAGCAGAAACACGCTAAGAATCAGCGTCCCTCCTTTTCTTCCCAATGATCGAGCCACTTATATTGTCACGTCTTCTTTGATGATATTGGTGAGAGAAGGAGAAGGGAATTAAGGAAACATGTTGATAATTTTATGTGTTTGAGAAGACGTCAAAATAACGACAGCATCGTACATCGCATGATTGTTCGAGAAAGGGGAGGAAAAATTGCGTCAAGGCACACTACATGCTAACACACGAACAAGGCGTTAAAAACATGTGATAATCGCGCGCTCCCTCCGTGCCTGATAAATAGACAGAGAAACGCAGCACGCGCATTGTTATTCGCAAGAAATCGAGCATTAGCACATTTGATTCTCAAAATTACACGATCGTCATATAAATATTGATTGGAGGCGTGGCTCTATGTACGAACAGACGTAATGCTTCATTTTTATTGCGACTTACATGGGAGAGATTTATAAAAAAAAAAAAAAAAAAAACAATACTAACCTCCTGTAAGAGGACCGACAAGTTATAAAAACATTATATTGAAATTTTGAATATAAAAATAAAGTTATAAAAGACATTATATATGTTACATCAATTTACATCCTAATAAATATGTTAAGCGTATATGAATATAAATTAAGCGACGAAATGAATAATGAAGAACTTATCCTTTTATGCAGAATAAAAAAATTACTTGCGACTGCTAAAAATTGTTTGTTAATTACGAGATTATAACTAAAGACTCTGACAAGCTCAAAACTAATTGTCCTTGATCCCTCCCCTCGCTTCTCCTACGTTATAGACAGGAAATTTTGACGTCAATTATTTGTATGAAATACTAAAATACAAAGAATAACAATCCAATAAAATTCACTTAAATCTTAAATCATCAAAAGCCGGTATATGTATATTGCATATCGTAGCCTCCGCGTCGCGCGATCTGAATAGATTAAGCAACAATTTATGTTTAATGACGTATTGTGGCGCGCTGATTTGCGAATCCTTTCTTGCGCAACGCAATAGCATCATTTATGTGTACGTGCATACGTGCGTGCGTGCGTGCGTGCGTGTGCGCGTGCGTGCATGTGTGTAACGCAATAGCGCGGCGATTGATCAAGTGCTACGACGTTTCTATTTAAATGTGTCTAATACTAGGTATTTTCAAATGCAAAAGGAAAAGATTCGACAATTCGAATAAAAATAGAACAAAACAATCAAAATAATGTCAATTTGACGTCATATTGACCGAATTTAGTCATTTTTTGATCATGATAAGAATCTCGATCTCAGATGATAAAATAAAAAGGATGACATTTAAAAAAAATATAAAGTCAATATAAAGTCATTTTTAAGTCATTTGAGATCGAGATTTATCATGATCAAAAAGTGACTTAATTCGCGGTCAATATGACGTCAAATTGACATTATTTTAATTGTCTCGTTCTCCTTGGAAAATACAATTCTTACAAAAGTAAGAAATAAAATAGTTTACTTAAATAGAACGTTTTTATTTTTTTAATTGGTTTATTATAAGAGACACGTTTTCTTAACAACGATACGTATGTACGAGCTGTGGGAACTATGTACATATCACGTTTATTTTTGTGACCATCGATGAAATCGTATCATTGAAAGTGAACGTGTAGCTTATAAATTATGCGTGGATGTAAAGAAAAAGTTTTTTTTCGACGTTGATAAATAAATTTGCTCACAACGTCGAGAAAAAACTTTGGTAATTATGTATTTTGGGGGACTCAGCCCCGATGACCTTGTCCTTGACATATATTGTCAAGGTCATGATTCTGAGCGACTTTGTCTTAACAACTAGGTCACAGTATAAGTAAGTACAGTAGTTTTACTCTCCAAAATTTATGGGTCAATAGATGTCCTTGTTTATCCTGTAAGTTAAACAAAGACACCTATCGTATAGGTCGTCGACTTTTTATATATAGACATTTTTTGTAATATTTTACAAACAATAAAAAAAACATTTACGTAGATATAATCATATATGATTTAATATATATAAGGTTATATTTCGATTTTCATTACCTATAAAACATCTAAAGTGCTAAAAATCTATAATGCACGTAATGTATATTATAAATTTTTAGTATCAGCAGTAGTATATTTGGTATATTTATTACCATATATTTAAGGCCCTTACTTCAACGCTTAAGGCGATGCTAAATCAGCTGATTTATCATGATTCTATTTGAAGAAAATGATCCGAATTGGCTTTACGGATTGCAAAATCCTTTTACAGAATAATAGTACGCACGAAAAACTATACTGGAAACCTTAATTTCACTAGAAAATCGGAAAAAAATTAAAAAATTCACTTTTTCTGGCAAAGTAGGATCACGTTCATACCTGTTTTTACCGGTGCTCTACAACGCCATCTATTTCAAGACGGCGGCCGACGGCGCAACTACTTCTAAACGCAATTTCTGCTCTGTTGACGTTCCGATCCTCGCATAGATCGTGATTTCTATTTGAAAAGAAATATTTTTTTCTACGCATTTAATCTTAGTTCCGCAAATTCAGGATTGTTCGTGCAAGTCATCCCAATACTGCAAGACGCTTATTTGCAATCTGCGATCTCTAAAACTTTTATATTAAGTGAATGTTAACCTCAAGTGACAGCTGTACGTGTTAGAAAAAGTGAATTTTTTTTTCCGATTTTCTAATGAAATTAGGGTTTCCAGTATAGTTTTTCGTGCGTACTTTTATTCTGTAAAAGGATTTTGCAATCCGTAAAGCCAATTCGGATCATTCTTTTCAAATAGAATCATGATAAAACAGGACGACTTTAGCATCGCCTTAATATCTGAAAAACTATAATGCCTGGTTTATGCTTCGGTCTTAAGGACTTAATCCTAAAATTCAGCCAATAGAGTTCAAATTTCGGTTAGAACTGGTAGCTTTATTGGTTGAATTTTAAAATCTTGGGATTAAGACCTGAAGCATAAACCAGGCATAACAGACTGCCACCTAGTTGTTAAGGCAAAGTTGCTCAGAATCATGACAACATATATGTCAAGGTCAAGGTCATCGGAGCTGGGTCCCCTAAAGTACATAATTACCAAAACTTTTTCTTTACATCCATGTATAATTTATAGACCACATTCACTTTCGACCATACGATTTTATCGACGTATCACAAAAATGAACGTGGTATGTATTTTTCGCAGCTCGAAAATGGACGTTGGTGTCGCTAGTGTACGGAAATTAGTAGAGTGGATATCAAGAGAGTGAAGTCAATAAGCTGGAAGTCGCCATTTTACGATTGACAGTGTAATTGAGGCGCGAAATTTGAACTACGTAAATGAACTGTTCATTTTTTAATCCACTTGACATTTTCAAAGGAGGATGGGTAAAATTATCAGATCTGTGCATAAACAAGAGTACCTTTCTTATGCATGTTTCCTTGTACTTTTTGATGCTAAATTGTGTACAAACGTTTATTTCAAAATAATCCGATGAGAAGTTATTGTAAATCGCGTTAAAAATAACTCATTAAAGGAATAGGTCTGATTGGCTCTCTTAATCACATCTTTTTTCACATTTTATTCACAGTTCACACGAATAGGCGCATTATGCGCATGATCTAACATTTTATCTTTTTTTAATATTCGGTGAACAAGAATAAAATGATGTTATTATACGCACTATGCGTGAAACGGAACGCACCTATAGGCTAACGTATAACATGTAGACTGTAGTGATGAGACCAACAAGATCACGTAAGATTCTATCTTAATAAATATGAATATATATAATATTATATATTGCATGTGTAAGCGAGCGCTTGCTACCGATCGCAGCTCCGCTATAGTGATAATAACCGCCTTGTAGCACGACGATCACGGCGTGCGCGGCACGTGAGGAGTGGGTGCGTAGAGGCCGCTTGAGATCCTTGCTAGCAAGGATCCGAGTACAAGGAGTCAGTCTTTGTTAAGAAGTTGAAAGACAGAGGCTGCGGTCGAGTTGCCACTACGAATGCTTTGAAGCGTTTGATTGACCAATCAAAAGAAAGAGTTTTACAAATTGACCAATCAAGAAACGCTTCAAAGCATTCGTAGTGGCAACTCGACCGCAGCCAGAGTCGTACGTTAACACATGAAGAAGCGTGCGTCTTGTTCGTCCTGAACGCCGAGTTGAATGTCCGCGATAAGAATAAAGTTATACTGCCGAATCGAAGTCTGTCTGTACGCGCTAGCTTTCTTAGTTGCCGATCAAATTGCTTGTTATATCCTGTTCCCCCTTGAGTATCCTGACACCGTGCTCCCATCGTATCTATGTATCACGCGGAGCGAGCATGATATAAGCGCGACGGAGCGAACGAACTTCCAAACGAAATTACACATGTATATAATTAATAATTATATATACCTATACTGAGTGTTCCAGAATAACCGCAGGAGCGTGCATGCGTACATATTCCTCATGAAAAAGTTAATCGAAAATGTTAATAGCAAAATCTTGAAGCATCAATAGTTTTCAAACGGTGAGCATTTGAAAATAACCAACCACAGAGCATGAAATTCGCGCCATCGGGAGGAGAAACTATTGACGCCTCAAGATTTTGCTATTAACATTTTTTAATCACTTTTTCATGAGGAATATGTATGTGCCGGCTCCTACGGTTACCCTAGAACACCCTGTATACATATATATACTATATATGTGTGTGTATATACATATATGTATACACACACACATTTTTTTAGCTCTATTTCTCTATATTAAAAAATAGAATTTTAATCTCTTTTTTACATTTATCAAAAAAATCTGAACATAATATTCTATTAATATATGAAGAAAAAAAGTAACGATTCGTTACATTTTGAGTAATGATAACGGTAACGAGTTATTTTTATAACGTAACATTGCCAACACTGTATATATATATATATATAAGTTAGTTCTTATCAAACTGATTAAGGACCTTTCTCGTTGCCACGATTATGTAAGTAATTGCTGCTAGGATAATTACAGAATTCGCAATATCCAGTTGGTCCTTGCGCTCCTGGTGATCCTCTTGTACCAGGGACACCTTAAATAGAATTGAAATAACATTTTGAATATTAAAGTATTTACAAATATTACCAAAATATGTATATTGCAGAGATTTTTCAATTATACTTATAAATTACATATTTTGAAAAATTATCTCATTGCTTATAATTCTTTTAATAGTAAATGAAATTATTTAATATAAATAAGCGGAGGAGAGACACATTCGATTAAAATGAATGTTTAATAATATTAATTTTGCCTGAATTTTTGCTTACACTGGAATTAGAACATTCCCTCAAAAATGTCAAATTAGAAGGCCAAGACCTATTTTGATCGAATATAATCCTTCGCTTATTTGTGTTACTTATCTTCTTTACCTGGTCTGCCTGGTTCACCTCTGTCTCCCTGCCTTCCGGGTAAACCGACGCCATCATTACCAGGAGGCCCTATCGTAAAACACAGTATATGATTAGTCAATTATCGTATTATTATATCATTGTCTATATAATTTTTATTGTTAACTATATTAATATTCATTTCATATTGTTAACTCTAAGCAAATAATTTTTTATTGATGCAGTGTGTATGGAATTTAACCTGGTGGACCTATTAAACCAGGCGGTCCTTCTAAGCCGATTCCCTCGGGACCTCTATCCCCCTTTTCCCCACGTTCGCCAGGTAGCCCTTGTGGACCAATGGGACCCTGCGAGCCAGGTAAACCGGCGAATCCACGATCTCCTGGCAAACCTGGTGGGCCTGGATCGCCTAAATAAAATTAATCAACCAAAAGTATTGCAATCGTACACAAATAGCGAAAAATATATTCATAAAATGTGAATGCACCATGCATTAATTTTAATTTCTATTTGTTTTTTAAATAGCTCTTACAGAAATTTAATACTAACCAATTTATTATAATACTAACTGCAGAAAGACAGTAATTAATTAAATATAAACTTGGAACGAAAAGGGCACTAAGAGTTAAGCGCAGATAACTTTACGCAAATGCTGATATATATTAAACAAAACTTTTTTATTATAATAAATTATAATAATTATGCCTACATGTTTTGGCTCAGTTTTAAGCCTTCTTCAGAGACATATTAGATTAAACAGATATTAGATAAAAGAAAAAATTAAGTTTTCCGCAGACACAGGTTTTTAGTAAACAAACGACCTTTTGCAAAAACTAATGAACATTTCAGGCTCGGTCAGGGCTAGATTTTTTCGTCATCACGAGGGCTACATTTTAAGAGAATTTTACTTTACATTTAAATTTCGATGAACAGAGAGTGAAGAAAAGACTTTTTTCGGCGGTTTTTATTTTTTTTCTACTTACATAATACATCGATCTTAATGTCTAACGTCTACTTTTGTAGATATTTCAAATACTTACATTTTTTATACGAACTTTTTTTCCATACAATCGATATCTTTCGTTTTATAAGCAAAAAACGTGCTTTATGCAACTATTCGATTTTTTTTCCAACTAAAGGCTTGAGTCTCAAACATATCTCAAATATTTCTTTTTTGATGGCCTTCCAAAGACTTTTGACACATGATGATTTACACTTTTTTTTCTGTAAAATTCTAATTCTACTGGATTATCAAACTGAATCTCGGGTACTTCTCTATAATCGCTTGTAAATTTACATACTAAGTATGTAGATTTTTTAATTGCGCGCCGAATTTTTCAGACTTGAAACGCAGCGCTATTAAACTATTGCAGTAATATCACGTTAAATTGACTAACAATTCAATAATTTTTTTATGTCTTTGCGCATCTTGACTCGATCTTAATAATATTTAATTATTTAATGACATTAAAATCTGTAAATAATTAATTTTTTATTGTAAAAAAATAAGTAATTAAAAATTAATTACTGTCTTTCAATTATACCAGATATTGTTTTTTAGTACTTATCAGTATTAGATTTCCGTAAGAGAATTTAATTTGATTCCATTATTACTTGAAGAAGAACAAATATAAAGATTAAAAATCGAAAATATTATATATAATCAAAGATAGAGAACAAATATTTTTACTAATTACGATACATAAAGCATGTGCTTGAATTAAAAAGAAGACATATATATATATATATATATACATTTAAAAAAGCGTTACATCTGATAATGAAAATAAGCTAAAGTAGTTACTCAACTAAACTAATTTCTGCATGCGCACGACAAAAGCATCCATTAATCCAAATAGGCCATTTGCCAGACATTTCAGACAGTTGCCGTGTTCCGAGCAATAGATACCTGGAATGCCTCGCTTTCCGGCTCGACCGGGCCGGCCGTGTCGAGCCGGTCCCGGTAATCCGGGTAGCCCTCGTAGACCCTCTGTTAGTTCTTTCAGTCTCTCTGTGACACATGCCAATATATTATTATTGTTATGGACGAACCCGGGATATTCCCGAAGTGATATTGTTAAATGTCCCGTATATACTGGCTGCGGTCCATTTGCTTCTTCCAAATACTTTCAATGCTACGCTCCAAACGCTATGCTTGAATTGGTCCATTACTGTTCCGAATGCTACAATTGCTACGTGAACGCTCCAGCCAAACCACCTCCCGAGGTGAGGCAGTTGGAGCGAAGCGGGAGCGAAAACGTTGACGTATTGATGACGTAGTCAGAGTTGCTGGGAGCGTTCCGAAGCGTCAAATGGATCAGCCATGTTAGTGCTACAAATGCTCTGTAGCGTTTGAAGCGCTGAGTAGACCGCAGCCATTATCAATGATGGATCATTCGTCATTGACCAGTAGAAAAGGTAGCTTCGCAACTGTTATAAATTTTTTTAATATGATTAATCTTGCCTTTAGTTCTTCACTGGATGTAAATATATAAATCAATTATATTCAAAAATTTTACAACAGTTGCAACACTGCTTTTTCTACCGAACGCAGCTATTCATTATATGCTATAGTTCTAGGGACGCGAGGGGCGATGCCTATGGTACATAAAGCATTTATAAATGGCGATGTTAATAATGTACTCTATTGTTGCTTGCCAAACATCTTCTCTTGAGTTAAGAGTTCCATTCTATGTCCAAGATTTTTCTAATAAAAAAAATACATAGTAGCAGATGATTCCGAATGCAATTAATTTACAGTATCGAGCACAAGAAAAAAGCACAATATATATATATATATGTATATATATATAGAGATTGATGATTTTGATTCGGAGGATGTACCTGGGCTACCTTGGGATCCAGGTGATCCAAGACGACCCGGACGGCCTCGACCGGGTGGACCAGGTGGGCCTTGCATTAACACTGCCATTTCGGTCATCTTTTCTGTATGTGTAATATAGAAGTGATAATAAGAAAGAGACCATTGTTACGTCCGGCGCGTTAGCTCATTTTTTTTTCCGCGCCTTCCGTATCTGACCGCAAGATTGCTGCCGCTCCATGTCATCGCTGAGCGCAAACGAAGGCGCTACCACAATATATACGGTAGCGCAACTCTCCTGATTTTATATTGCCTAAAATGGAGTGCGCACGCGCGAAATAAGTAAAATGCCCAGTAATGCCGTCTAAACTTCTATCTCACTTCTTCTTATCCGTTCTTTCTGTCAGGACCATTTAAATATTTCCATTTAAATATCCTGTGATTGTTCATGTGCTTAGAAAACTCAAATTTAAAGAAAATTAGTGCGCGGTTTTTTAATAAAATACAGCGTTGTCCAAAACTTTGATCAAAATTAATTGGAGTTTAAGCAACTAGTTAAGTTGCTATCTTTACTACGAAAACGAAGGGAGTCGATAAGTGGAGGATTGAGTTAAATCTCAACGAGCTTTTATGTTTAGAAATAATCTGCAATAAAAATCACCTCTCAGGATAGTAGAGCAAATATCGCGAATTTCCGCTTCGCTTATACTACGTCCCGGCAAACCTTGAAGTCCAGGTAATCCCGTTTGACCTCTGTTCCCGGGGAGACCTTGCAATCCAGGCACTCCGTCTTTACCAGGTATTCCAGGTGATCCTATCTGACCTTCTAATCCTCGTTCTCCGGAAGCTCCTTTTTCACCTGGCTTTCCAGACAGCACGCAATATTTATAAAATATTTACAAAATATTTGTAAATATTTATTTTGATAACTAAATTTCGTTGTAGTACTTTTCGAATCGCCTCCGCCTTCCGCTGTCCCCCTCATCTCGCACCGTCCCGCGCGCAGATCAAATGTCGCTCGAGCGTCGTGCGGCATTTGGACCGCGCGCGGTGAGGTGAGGGGGACAGCGGAAGGCGGAGGCGATTCGAAAATCGGCCGAAAATTACATACTATATGTATGTTCACTTTGTACTGGCACCTTTAATTAATAATATATCAGTTACTTTTCATAGTGTATACATCATTTTCAGAATAAACATTTGTTCTGAGATACTCTGTATAATAAATATACGTAAAAACATTATTTATATTTCTTTATAAAGCTTGATCACTGACCGTTATATTACATAATTGCTTTGCATAATACGAGCGAACTGTACTAAATTTAAAATTAAATTATGTAATTTAATTTATATTATTTATATACAGAGTGTCAGTGACCTACGACATTAGCAATCATAAACAGGTAGAGCGGACTAAAGGTAGGTCGAGCAAACACGTTTATTCGGCTATCTTTAAAAATTAATATCTCGTTATAATAACTATTATTGCAACTACAAAATGGTACAAGACTTTTCAATTCAGTTCAATCCGCTCTACTTACTTATGATCGCTGATGTCATAGATCACTGACACCCTGTATAATTTGATTTGTTTTATCAATTTTCTAGTTTCTCTTTCTCTCAAATAAGATGCTTACTATTCCTGGAAGACCTAGTGGACCTCTAGGTCCTTCGAGGCCGGGACTACCAATATTATCAAAGCTACTGTTCACAGCTGGAAGACCGGGCGAGCCTGGGGGTCCTGGTGGTCCTATTGATCCCGGAGGACCGGGTGGACCGGGTCTTCCTTCTAGTCCTGGTACGCCTGGTGTGCCTGGTGAACCTATTGAGCCCTAAATGTATAAATTAATCGATATATTTATCGTTTTAAAATTACATGGGTTGATTTTACATGAGTTTATTGTTTGAAATATGGAATTGACAGATCATCTAATGCTATAATATCTATTTCGTTCATCCTCTTACTGAATTTCCTGGTAACCCACGAGGTCCGACAGAACCTCGTTCACCTTCCTGCCCTTTGTTACCCTTTTGACCCGATTTTCCATCGAATCCTGGTGGTCCTAATTTTCCTGGAAGTCCATTTAAACCTCGAGGTCCTGGAGACCCCGGTTCTCCGCGTGACCCTGGAAGTCCCTTATTGCGTGCAACAATAAATATCACGAAAAGTATATTATTTTAACTTGTGATATCTGGCGCTAGTTATTCTAGTAATGTAGTTATTTTAGGTTGGCGTCACATTTGTGTTTTGTGTGTGTTTCCTCTCTAAGTAATAATCAATCAAGGTTTGTCGTTACATCTATACTTTTCATATTCTGTTCGCTCTTATAGAGTTGAGTCTCATCAATAATAATTACAATAATATAATTTTATATAAATCTGAAGTAATAAAATACCTGCGGTCCCGGTAATCCAGGATATCCATCCTTTCCTGGATTTCCAGATGGTCCTGGAGGACCCATTGGTCCAATTTCTCCTTTTTCACCTGGGAGACCATCATCGCCTGGAGACCCGATAGGTCCTTCGGGACCAGGTAGTCCCGATATGACGCTATTATCCGTCAATCCAGGTGTACCTTAAAGGATAATAAATATTTCAATTTTATTGTAATATACATAAAAAGAAGTATCATTAAACAAATAGACTATTTGTATAGTTTTTATAGTTAATATATTACTGACCATCTCGACCACGGTTTCCGATATCGCCTTTTGGACCTGGCGGACCAGGAGATCCTGGCAGTCCTGGTGGACCTGATGGTCCTGGCGACCCTATTATACCACGAGGACCTTGTGATCCTGGAATACTAGATGTGTTCATATATACAGTGTTGCCTTTCGGTCCAGGGGGTCCTGGAAGACCAGGAGGTCCCGGAAGACCAGGAAGACCTGATGGGCCGTCACGACCACGGGATCCATCTAATCCTGAATACCCCTTGTCTCCAGGTTCGCCTAAATTAGTTAAATTATACAGTGGATCAACAATTGGAGATATCAGCTCTCGTGACTTTCACCTTGACATGTTGTCAAGGTTATGATCTTGAGTGACCTTCAGATGGTTTCAATTAGTGCTCATTATTAAAAAATCGATGTTTTTCTTCATGCATTCGTTTGCTCATCGTTTGTTCACGAATGCTCAGTTGGAATTTTCGTTTGCTCATCCTTAGTTCAAAAGATATACGAAAATTATGTATTGTATACATTCTTGATTAAGTCAAACAATACTCTCAATTCTACTCAAGTTTTAATGTGCATGAAGTTAGCACCGCCATTTTGTTAAAAAAAAAAAATAAAATTTGTGCTGAATTGTGCTACATTTGTGCTACATTGTGCCGCAAGAATTAATGACATAACTCAAAAAACAAAGCGTTAAATTGAAAAAAACGTTTTTTTCGCCAGCACCGCCATTTTGTTTAATCGGCAAAATGAACATTGTGCTGAGTTGTGCTCGATTTATGCTACATTGTGCCGCAAAGATTTCAGTCGTTCATTCATAACACCAAAAGTTATAACTAAAAATAGTTTTTTCCTCCGTGTTCGGTTTTTTGTTCAAAATTCGGGTTTGTAGTGCTTCCATGTGATCGATACTGTATATCTGAGTTGTGCTAGCGTAGCACAACACAGCACAACCGTTAAATTCGCCGGCACAGCGATATTAAGGGTACTTTACTCTTGAGTGCGACTATTCGCGCAAGGAATTTCCAACAGAAACGAAATTTATATTGTATGAAATTTAAAATGGGTTAGAAATATTGCAAGCGGACACTGTCTAAATGTCTGAACGAAATAAGAATAACATATCCTACCCGCTTGGGGCCTAACTGCCTAGAAGTGACAGCGGGATCACATGGAAGCATTATAAACCCAAATTTTGAATAAAAGAGCCTTGCGCGAATTAAATATTATGAATTATGTTTCTTTGAAACTTGTTTTGAAATCAATAACTCCTCTAATTCCTACTAATATAAAATTTCCCTGAAATTTAAAAACCTTTAGAATTTCATTTTCGGTCGCCACATTAATTCTAACATTTTGATAAACAATATTTAGTTTATTTTTTTATTCACCGTTTACGTCGAAAAATTCGACCCACAGTGTAGTTGTGCTGGGTCGCGTACAAGAGTAAAATACATTAAAGCAATTAATTGAAGGGATCATTTTGATCTCAAAATGTTTCTAGAATTATTTGCTCTAAGAATATCCAGAATCCGATATTTTGCTCATCGGTTACGTCGAAAAATTCGACCCACAGTGTAGTTGTGCTGGGTCGCGTACAAGAGTAAAGTACATTAAAGCAATCAATTGCCGGGATCATTTTGATCTCAAAATGTTTCTAGAATAATTTGCTCTAAGAATATCCAGAATCCGATATTTTGCTCATCGGTTACGTCGAAAAATTCGACCCACAGTGTAGTTGTGCTGGGTCGCGTACAAGAGTAAAGTACATTAAAGCAATCAATTGCCGGGATCATTTTGATCTCAAAATGTTTCTAGAATAATTTGCTCTAAGAATATCCAGAATCCGATATTTTGCTCATCGGTTACGTCGAAAAATTCGACCCACAGTGTAGTTGTGCTGGGTCGCGTACAAGAGTAAAGTACATTAAAGCAATCAATTGCCGGGATCATTTTGATCTCAAAATGTTTCTAGAATAATTTGCTCTAAGAATATCCAGAATCCGATATTTTGCTCATCGGTTACGTCGAAAAATTCGACCCGCAGTGTGGCTGTGCTGACTTAAGACTAAAGTTGGCACAGCCACAAAGAAAAATAGCAGCAAATGAAAAATCAAGTACATATTCTTGAAGGGCTTTTTTTTGCTAATTTAAATTCTACTTCAAAAACACACACTAAAACCAAAATCCCCCTTATATTCCATCCGCCAGATTAACGAAAACAGATTTTAGAAAACTGAATCGAAACGCCATTTTGAACTTTCAATTTTTAAATACGGATTCGTAACGAACGTCCCCAAAAACTACCTGTAACCAAATTTCAACAAAATCGAAGAATCTTAAGAATTTCCGTAACATTTCCGTCTGCTATATTGGATTAACTATTTCAAATTTTCAATTTTTGAGAACGGATTCGTAACGAACACCCCCTAAATCACCAATATATCTAATTTCACCAAAATCGAACAATTTTTAGGATTTACGTTAATTTTACGTCCGCCATATTGGATCCACTATTTCGAATTTTCAATTTTTGAGTACAGATTCGAAATAATCGACCCCGAAGATCCCCGAATACGAAACCACATCAAAATCAGAGAATTCCAGCAGCCTCAACGAAAAGAGGCTTCAAAAAAGCGTGACACGCCAATTTTAAGATATGATGATATGTTTATATGATTGTTTAAATTAAATTGTTTGTTAATTTACTTGGCTCGTTGCCCTCTTCATATTTATACTTTTAATAAAATTTCTTTTCTCTATTGCGCAATTAATTTTGACTTTTAAGGTATTTATAAGCAAATAATTTAGAATTATTTATAATCAACGAATATTACGGATCACAGATTGCGATAAATTGATTTACAATGACTGCGAATAAACGCATCTGGGTCAACGATACGTAGAATATCATGCATCGCGCATTGTCAGCTGAATCGTTTAATAGTCGTTATTTGAATTGCCTCTTTTTATAATGTGCAGAGTAGAGTTAATAAAAAGACTATAAACATATGAAATATAACTGATTTGAATATTTGAACTAACAAATTAATATCAACGCAAATCATTTGTTATGATAAATCTATGATAAATGTTGATTTTTTTGTGGGTCAAACAACTTTCAGATTAACATATATGTATTATTGATATTTTCTATTAGAAAATTATTTATGATTAAAACCTAAAAACATTATGTATTATGTTACCAAAATGCATTATGTAAAGCTATTATATTCATTCTGACATGATCGAGATTTAGATAGTAAATTGATTTATATAACATTGCAGTAACAACAAGTGCATTAATCGAACACCCATTCTGTAGAATTCTCTCACTCTATCGCCGACACAGAATAACCCAATTAAACGTCTCGACGCGATTTCTGACGAGATCGAATTACATCGTCAGTGTTCCACGAGTGGATTTAATCTGTCTTAATGAAGTGATTTATCTGATATATTTCCTTTCTAGGAAATAACGTGTTGTACCTTTTTCACCAGACTGTCCTTGAATGCCATTGTCTCCTCGTTCACCTTTGACTCCTTTCTCGCCCTTGTATGAGTATTCTGATGATCCAAAAGGGTGCAAAAAATTACCTGCATTTCCTGGTGAACCTGGAAACCCTCGAGGACCCTGATCTCCTTTTAGACCAGGAAATCCCATATCGCCCTATTAGAAAATTTATTCTTTTATAAATAAATTTTTATGTGTTATCATATTTAATTTAAATAAATTAGTGCTTACTCTTTCACCCTTTCGGCCTGGTGATCCCGGTAGTCCTGCGGGTCCGATCAATCCTTTAGAACCTTGCAGTCCTGGAAAACCTCTAGCGCCAATGTTACCTGGAGTTCCCTAATAATATAAATCTCTTATATTCCTTCTTTTGCATTCCTACTATTTACGTTTTGTAAAGCTAAAAAATGATTTTAGTTATGACATATTTAGGAATTTCTCAAGGTGGTTTAACAATAGATATCAACAACTAAAAAAAGTTAAAAAAAAAAGAAAAATTTCCACAGTTTTCATACCTTTTCATTTTTAATTTTTGATTTACGAAAATTTTTGCTGCTTACGACGGACGTGGAAAATAAAAGCTGTCATATATTTTACATAATATTGCATAACATGATGCACAATACTAATAAGCAGTAAGCAACAGCAAGAATTTTAAGCTGTAAGAATTTAGGAGTTTCCTAAATTAAAAATATTTTTAGAATATCAATATTGCGTTGTAAGTCTGAAAAAATGTTCGGCACGTGATTGGAAACTACATACGCGGTATATTCACACATAATAAGCATAGTGATCTAGTTTTGACCATAGATGGCTTAGTAGACCGTTAGTTATTGCGGTTTCCTTATTCTTGTTAATCAATATTGTGATTAAGCATTTCAGGAATATAAAAAATATACATATAAAAACATTTTGCTATAAACATTTTTAAGAAAGAAGGATGACCATGGGGTCATTTCGATGGCGTGAATCCGTCTCTGAATTACAAATATTTTTATGACAAATGATGTTTATTTTTTTTTTTAGTTATATAATGATTTTAGTTATATTGTTATATTATAATTTTTTAAATAAATAAGAAGAACATACTGCCTTTCCTTGTTCACCCGGTGGCCCCGGTTGCCCTGGATATCCAGGTAAACCTGACGTACCAATTGGTCCCGGTATTCCGGGTGGTCCAGGCGGACCAGGAAATCCCTGATATAATTTTCTTTATCAATCTCGGAAATTATTATTACTAATTAAACAAGTAAAAATTCATGTAATTTTAACTGGCGTAACATTTAGTAAATAAAAAAGATGTACAATTCATCTTACAATTTAGTGATTTTGATTAATTTTATAAGTAATCACAATTTTATTGGTCTTTCACTTTTAATCCTGAAAAGTTTATGATATACACAAATATTTAATAAATGTAACACAAAAAAGACTTACATTTGTACCATTAAATCCAGGTGGTCCTTGTGGACAGATCGTCTCGCAGGTAGGTTTTATTTGAAGCGGAGCGGCTTCTATGATTTTCTATGATCACATATATTACACTAGTCAGATCTTGCAAAATTATTAAATCCTGCTGATATGTAGATCTTACCGGTAGTTCTTTACACGTTTCTCTCTCGTCTCTCGTTGGATCGCAGGTTAAAACCATCCATTGCAAGTCAATCTAAAGATAAAGTAATATAATAACTTATATAATATATAGTCTTATATATAGAAAATCGTACCTAATGTTTTATGAAACATGTATTGTATAATAATATTTCTATAATTTATTGAAATTCTAACGTTGCTTTCTGGATATAAGTCAAGAATCTAATATTAAATTTAGTTTGTCCCACTGACTGTTTCAGACTCGTTCTGTACGAAGCTGTTAAGTAGCGTATTATTTAATTATAATAGTCGTACGCGCGTGCGTAATTTTATTTTAAATTTCTAGAAAATGCGCATTTCTTGCATTGACACTAATACCAATGCAATTCGTAAAATCGTAAACGTTAGATGTATAACACGCTTATAAGTCTCTACTTTTAAAGATAATTCACATTAATTCAAAATTAATTATTAAATAACAAATTTTTTTTAATAATAAAACCGAATAATAAATTAAATAACGCAAATGCAAATCTGATATGACGTGAACAATTAAGTTTTGCATGCAAATCTAATATAACGGAGCCTTACCGGTACAGTAACCTTATTATTGCTCATTTTAGCTATCGACAGATCCCCGTCGACTTTGATCGAACTGCGTGGTTTTAATTCTTCTACGCCAACAAATTCGCAATCGACGTTAAGAACTAGTTTATCCTTGAACACCCCGAAGTTTACCTTGTGCCAATCCCTATCGAACACCTAATTTATAAGAAATCATATATTTTTTACCACGTTGTTATCAATGAGACAAGCTGCAATTAATCAAGTCTTAATCCTAGGAAGAATAATGATGTAGATAGAGACAAATGAGTTCTAATTAAGACTTATCACTGAGATATCTCGAAGTTTCGTATATATTTAGTGCATTAAATTCATGCTATGTCAAAACGCGCTTGCAATCTTCATTGATCAAAAGGTTCTGAGTTTTTTTTATGACATTTTCGTATTACCGTATTATCGATCGCATAGCATGACACTCGTTTTCTATCACGTAAGCGATAGAATTTCTGACGTCCGAGACTCTTTGAAGTGACATTTGCGCATGAAGCGACCCGACGTAACTTTCATCCGTTACATCTGCTCTGTGTAATAGCATGACGATACAATTCACGCGTCTACTTTACGGCTTGGCATGCATCTCATGCCATAGCTTAATGATTTCATGCAAAACACTCATTCATAATAATTGATTAGTTTTAATGATGACGGGCTCCTATTCTCTTTCTCTCTCTCTCTCTCTCTCTCTCTCTTTCTTCTTGATGATACTTTTGAGAAACAATCCACTTGACAGAATTTATGACCTTTTCACATCATATTATCGCAAATCAGGGTGTGCTTGACTTTGGAATTCTCTATCTGAGGGTATAATGTATATGCGATACAATATTCCAATAAAGAAAGACAGATATAAATATTGCTTTGTCTAAACAAAAAGGAATGTCAACGATTTATTAATTTAGACGATTCTCCACGACGATTTTATCTTCGTTCAAAGCTTTATTTAATGGCAACGCCAAGCATTTATTTTAAGAATAGAGGATTGTCACGCACATAAACCAAACAAACTGTTCTAGAACGATGATGGACGTGACAAATGGTGACACTCACGCGATCATTCACAAAAGAGACCGTCTGTAATTCTCCCTCGTTATCGATCGATGAAAAATCCAGTGTTCGCTTCCTGGAATTCATTGTGATGAGAAACTGAGAGTCACCCTTCACGTCCGCAATCTTAATGACGTGCCAAGGAGGCTTCGGTGATTTCCTAGCTTTCAGCGTGTATACCAATGAGAACTCTTCTGGAAGTCCGCTGGGTATGATATCTCTGTAATTCGTAGAAGGAAGAAAATTGATACCTCGCTAATCAATACTTTTTAACAGGAAAACGTATTGAGAGAAAGCTATACCGAAATATTTTACTATTTATTAATTAATCGAAAAAATTTGCAATACTATTATAATTAGATTTATTATTAAAATAGAGAAATATTTAAATCTATTGTGAATTTTGCGTAAATAGAAAAAGGACATATATTGACTAATATCCATTTTTTTTTTGTCAATGTAAATTAATTTTATTATCCGGTTTAATTTACTGTCTATCTTTTGCTAATTCTTAGAACGAGAAGAAGATAAAAAGTAAGTTAAACCGAGATCAAAATAATTAAGTTACATTGACAGAAATAAATTAAGGATGATTTTGATTAAACTCCAATTTAATCGACGTCCATATTTTTGTCAATATTGGGAGAATTTTTGGATTAGAGGCAACGCATTATATAATTGAAATTTTTGCTTTAACCAATTCTGCCGGTTGAATTAATTGACGAGTTAATTGGAGTCTGTGGCCCAAGTCGGGCCAGACCGCTGTTTCTATGCGAGCTAATTTGAATACTTCGTCGGGAGGGTGACATCAGTGCCTTTCTCCAGCCGGTATGCCGTCTGCATGCGATTACTGCCTCGGACCTTCGTCATGCCACTGTAACGCGCGTCCAACAGATCCAATTTCAGCTTGCTGATAAACTCGAGTGTTTGAAGATCGTCTACGCCGGACTTGTAGCCATTGCATAGCCCGCGTTTGGCGACGACGTATTCTAACAGAAATATATAACACTACGAGCTTCGCGAATGCTGCACGCAATTCCGTAATATCAGTTGCTTCCCTTTTAGCAGACAGAGGGTACTTTTCATTTGGTGATACAAGTTGACATAAGCATCATTTTATTTTAACATCAGTGAGTAACGAAGATAAAACGACACTTGTAACATTGTGTCACTAAATGAAAAGTACCGATAATCGAAAAATGTCCTTTTATCTTTGTTATTCATTGAATGCGAAGAAAGTTAAAGTGACGTTTGTGTCGACTGTATCTTCTAAAAGGAAATCAGCCATCGTAGCGAAAGATACTTACGAGCATAAGTTATGTGCGCTATTGCAAATATCCATGTTTGCAGATACATTTGCAGCGATCAGATAAATCTGAAACAGCACCGATAACTGACAGTAAAAATAATAATATGGTATCTGCTATATTCTAAATTCTTGGACAATTAAATAAAAGTATAAATTAATTAAATATAAAATTACGTATAATGATGGTGAAGAGAGATTATGGATATAGACAGATTTAATAGATATAGGAAGTTTTAATGACATTTATAAGGAAAATTATTCAAAAAATATATAGAAAAATATGTATGGAGGTAATTCTCAAAAAATTAGAATTTTTGCGTATAGTTTTTAAAAATACATTTAAATACGTTAAAATTTATTAAAATATTAAAACTTTGTAAGACCGTAACAAGTGATAAACACAAACAAACAAGAAGAAGATAGCCATAACGGTCAAAGCTGGATCATAATGCTTATTATAATTGTGTGTGATTCTATATACTGCGTATGTAGTCCCC